CGATAATAGTAGGAGCCCCAGCGCTGTCGTTGGTAAGTGTACGGTTGTTGGTCATATTTGTACACTGTTTGTTTCATCTCATGAGAGTGTTTTAGTTGTGAGTCGGTCTCAGGGTTGAATAGGCCTGCCTCATCCATAGGGAGATCCTCAATGAGAGAACGTTGAGATTGAGAAAGGATCGCATCTCTAAGCCATGCATGACGGCGAAGGGCTACTGATCCTGCAATTAGTTTCCCAGAATTATCAGCAGTGTTTCTTGCTAGGTCTTTTTGCAGTTTGGCTAAGAGAAGGGCCTCTTGTTGGAAAGCCTTAGCCAGTGGTTGCTCAGTTGGTGGTAAGAGTTCTAGGTATGGGGATATCTTGTTCCAGAGGAGAGTCTGGTAAACACTCATGTAAACCCCATAATGGGCCATGCGTGCGAAAAGGCATGCTGAGGAATAGAATTTTTTGGCCATAGAGTCTAGCTTCCTCCCTTCTTTGTCAGAGGGGGATGCTTGGTTTCTTTGGATAGGTCTTGGTTGAGCATCGGTCACCACAGAGTTTGCCTTAGGCATCTTAGAGAGCCATGAGGCTGTGGAAAGATCAATACGGTATAAGTTTTCTGCTCTTTTAGGGGTTGCTGGAACCAAGGCTGGGGCAACTCCTGTATTTTTTAGAATTTTCAAGAGAAATGGAAGTGTGGGCAACACAGTAGATGTAGGTGTTTGTTGTTCAGTGGATGTAAAGCATGGATCTGACACAGTATCTGAAGGTTCAGGAGTGGCAAAGTTTAGGGCTTTGGCAAGCCTTATTAACAGAGCTGAGAATTTTTTAAAATCTTCTAAATGCTGAGGGGAAGGGTCAGGGTCTGGTTGGGGATCTTAAATGACTGGTGTGTCATCCGTGGACTCCAAATCGATTGTATCTGCTTCTATTTGGGGGGGCATGGTAGGTTCCAAAGTAAAGCCCTGGGGATCCATCTCCCCTTGGGGATCTGGGGGATGAGAGAGTGTAGCGGAAGGAGGTTCACGCGGGGGTTGGGGAAAGTTAGGATCAGGATAATGAGGTGGATGGGTTCCCCTGAATGAATCGGGGG